AGTATGGTCCTTCAAACCATCATCACTTGACTACGGTCCTCCAACTTACAATCTTCTATTTATTATAGTCTCAACTCCGATGCCTATTGACTTCATCATCTACTATTACTAATAATGTCAATACATGATATCATTTATAAGATTGATGCATGCTACCAACATGAACTCCAACTCCAGACGTTAGCATTGGGATTTGTGCTAAACTTTTTTGGTCTTTGGTCTCCTACTCTCAAAGACATGACAAAAAAACTAGTTTACACTCGCTTAATTACAACTCTCATGCTAACTGTCTCTTCTAAATTCAACCATATAATATGATCTATATGGTGTATGTTTACTATATTAAATAAATGCTCTCTTGAGGAGAGGAAGGATATCATTTGTAACCGATGAAAAATGCTAATAGAATTTTTTAACTAGAATCTGGATCAGATCCTCCAATTTTTCACTTTTTTGAGATTTTCATGTAAAAATTCTGGTGCCTCTTACAATTATTGCATTCATCTCTTATCTATGTGTATGCTAAATTTTCATGCAAAATAAAGATATTAAATTTTATATTTCTCTATAACCGTAAATACTAAATATCCTGACACAACATTTATAAAAATATACGATGCCGGAAAGCGCGAGGGAGCTTCGCGATGGACTTAAGTGGAAGGTTTCAGCTTTGTAAACAAGTAATGACATGAAATACTTGATTGTGTTTGGGTGGGCAGAGGAAAGCTGCCCAGTTCGGTCAAAATATTATCTAAATGACCGATCCTTAAAAATATTTATTTAAACTTTAATAGAAAAATAATTATAATCAGGAAAGTTTAGTTTTATACGTTCAATAATGTCTGAAATTAAAGAAATATGTAAGGAAATTCATATATTTTGAAAAATTAATAAAATGATGAGCATAGTTCTTAAATTTTGAATTCTCACTTTATTTCTAAAAAATTACAAAATAAAGTTTAATTAATCAATCAAATATTATATTTATTTCAGCATAAATAAGACAAAAATTATAAAATTATTCAAATAAATTTGGACAAGATGCTTGAACTAATTTTTCGGCAACACATAACGTGTGAAAATCATGGATTTGGCTTAGCTATTTGTCCTTTTTTGACTGGATGCTTGGATTAGACTAATGAACTTTGTATCTTATATTCATATTAATCCGATCTGTATAGGTCTTCTTCATAATTAAAATAATAATTAAAAAAAAAACTATCTTCAAAAGGATCTTGACGTTATGATACAAATGTGACGAGACTACGCCTTAAAAAGGCGAACAGAGCCGTATTAGATACTTTCTAACATTAAGGTTTTGTTTACTGCATCTTAAGCTTTTCAGATTTTAAAATTTGAAGTTTCTTTCTAAGAGAAAGTTTCAAAACTGGTTTTTTTTTTTAAAGTTTTTAAAGGCAAAAGTTTGAAAAAACAATAAGAAATTTATCTTTGAAACACTTTAATTTTTTACTAACTATTTTTACTATCATAAAAGTAGTCAAAAAGTTGTTCCAAACAAAATTAAAGTGTGTGCCTGCATGCGTTTAAGATATGAGCCATTAGTTCCCAATCTAATTGTGTTAGGCTTTGTTTGGGATAGCTTACTTATTGTTTTGTTTTTCCGACTGCAACCATAAATTTTATTTGGTAATTAGTTTTTTGTTGCTTTCAAAAAAAATTTATACTTGGAAGCTACTTTCTACAACAGTTTTAAAATTTTTTTTTCTCTACAACAGCTTTACAAAGCAAAAAAGAAATCTGTCTCTTCGTTTGGGACGACTTTCTTACTGTGTTGCTTTTAAGATCACACTCATGATTTTATTTGACCATAATGTTTTAGTTGCTTTTAATAAATTTTTATACTAGGAATGTGATTTCTATACCAATTTCAAAAAAAAAAATATTTTCTCCATAGCAATTTTATCTTTATAAAAATCTGCAACTGTCCCAAATAAATCCTTAATATCATTATAGCTGATTTGAATATGAACCAAAAAACAACAGAATGATTGTGCTTATCTCAATTCTTTCTAAGATTGATTTATTATTTTTAATTGTCTGATCTCAACATAAGCAAACAATTGAGTCGATTTTCAATTACTTTTCAATCTAATAATGAATGTTTTGCCTGTCATATATATATAAATATATATATATATATATATATATTCAATTTCAAGTAGGAGAGCCTAGTCAACTCAAACTCGAATCATTAATGAGCTCACGAGTTCAATCTCGAGCCTACACTTGAGCTCATATATTATATGAGCCTGAACTTGAGCTAAATCTAGCTCGGCTCGTACGCTCATTGATTCTTCAAATATACTGCTAGAATGATCAACGCCATATAGCACAACAGTTCCACACGACTATGCAAATACTAAAGAATTAGATTATTTGAACCATCTGATGACCAAAGTTAATAAGCCACCATGATATATTTCCAGCAATCGCAGCTCCAAATTAAACAAGTCCTTGACCA